TATGGTATCTATTCTTATATAATATGTGAAAATGTGAGAAAAGAAGTTCAATATTAGAAAAATTATATATTGATGCTTGTTTTTCCTGTTATAAAAGGAGTACAATATCTATCTTATAAATCACTCCAACTCTTTTCTTTCTCTTTTCTATCAGTACATTATATAGTAGTTGAGTCTCTTATTTCTGAGAGATAATATTATTACTGTTTTCCCTTTAAACTTAAAGAGAATATTGTAATTTCTTCAAGTAATAAAATTTTATTATTGTCTATTGTTGGTTTTGTTTCTCTTTTGTCATTTTTTATTTTAGTTATGGGTTCTTATGCAATTGCTCAGATTCCTAACAGTTGTATCAAAGCTGATGGTTGGTTTCTTATTTCTAATTACTGGATATAAAGTGTGGTAGTGTAACAATGCATGTTTAAGAAAAGTTCTGACAATGAAATACTTGGTATTTAAGTGTGTCTATTAGTGACTCACCTCTCTTTCCTAAGAGCTTACCTGGTGTACTAGTTATAGTTTATGTTGTTATTTCGGTAGGTAATACTATTTATAGTGAAATGTGCATAAGTCAGTTAAAACCATGATAACAAAATATGAGATAGAGAAGTTTAATGGAATAATTTCTCATTATGAAAACTGAAGATGAAGACAATTTTTGTAAGCATCACAAATTAAAGGTGGAAAGAAATTAATAACAACGTTGTAACAAATTTGTGGAGAAGAGTACAATGAAGGAGATTTGAGAGTTCCTTGTCAAATTGTATCTAGAGGAAACACATATTGGACTTGGTTTATTATGATGTGTTAGAATCGCCAGTATTATCCTTAGGAGGGGCTAAATATTTTGTGTCAGTTATGACAATGATTACTCCATCAGATTATGGGTGTACTGCATCAAGAGGAAGTCTGTGTTTTCAAAGTTCGGGAAAGAAAAATTATTGGACTATTCAAACAATGTGAATTAATATTTCCTATGGATCCCACTATCCACAAGGTTATTGTAAGCAGTGATACAAATATTTTTTTTATTTAAGGTGAAATTAGAGAAAAGATTGGAGTGCTCCAACCAGAAGACTTAAAGAAAAATGAAACATGGTTTGCAAGTTGATCAAACCTTTGTACGGTTTAACCGGGTATCCAAGTGTTAGTACAAGAGATTTGATTCTTCATCATTAACCTTGATTATAATAGACTAAGTTCAGACTATTGTACCTATTATAATAGATTTGATGAGAATAATTTTATCATTTTGTCGTTGTATGTGGATGACATGTTGGTGGTAAGCTCCAACAAAGTTCGAATCCAGGTTTTGAAGGCACAGTTGGTTAGGAAGTCTAATATGAAGAACTAGGGACTAAAAAATAAGATTTTAGACATGTAAATTCACCGAGGCAGAAAAAATAGGAAAGTTTGACTTTATCAGAAGAATTAATTACTGAAGGTCTTACAGTTCTTCAACATGCAAAGGTGTAAGCCACCAGTTTCTACCCTAGTTTCTATCAAGTTATCCTCAAGTATAAGTCCTAACAATGAAACAGGGAGGATGTAAATGTCTCAAGTACTGTATGTATCGACGGTGGAAAATCTTATGAATATCATGATCAGCACAAAACCAGACATTGCACAAACAATGAGAGCGGTTAGTATATCAATGGCAAATTGTAGTGGAGAACATGAGTATTATCAAGAGAATTCTTATAAAATGAACCTTAAATGTTGTATTATGTTTCGGAGGATCAAAAGTAGTTGTCAGATGCTATGTTTGTTCAAGTTTTGTAGGTGATGTTTATAAGTTTACCTTTGTTGGAGAGACAATAACTAATTATCCAAGTTATAAGAAGTTGTAGCTTTGTCTATTACAGAAGTTGAGTACATGACAGTCACCCAAACATGTAAGAAAGTTATTTGGATTAAGAGGATAATGGAGGAACACAAGCAACAACAAATTGTTGTGTATTATGACATTCAGAGTATCTTGCACATTGTAAGGAATCATGCATCATATTTCAGGATAGAGCAAGAAAGACCTAGCAAACTTTATGATAGTTGATTAGCAATGACAAGATTTCATAGAGGCAACAGTCAAAGTGTCTTGCACATTGTAAGGAATCATACCTTATATTTCAAGATAAAACAAAAAGAACCTAGTAGATGTTATGACAATCGATTAGCAGTAATAAGTTTTCATAGAGACAATCCTACTGAATGTCTATTGTAATAACAATATAGAAGATAATAATAATGTATTGTGAAGATTTGATTAATTTAATCAAAATCTGATGGGAATTTTTAGGGTTTTGTGTATGTGTATTTCTGATATATCATGTGAGTATATATTTTATTCATGTACTCTATGTATATATAGAGTAAAAATATTACAAAATATCAAATATTAATAATATCTCAATCATAACTCGCCTAAATCAAAATAATAACCTAATATCTTTTTATCTTCTCTCTTAAAAGATAATAAAATATCTTAATACCTAATTTAAATAAAATAATATTCCCAACAAAATCTTCAAGTGGGAGATTGTCGGAATGTGAAAAGAGAAGTCCCACATCAAGGAAATTATATGTTGGTGTTTATTTTTCTTGTTATAAAAGAAGTACAATGTATACCTTTTAAATCACTCCAATTCTCTTTCTTCTCCTTTCTTCCAGTGTATTATATAGTAGTTGAGTCTCTTATTTCTGAGAGAAAATATTATTATTGTTTTCTCATTAGACTTTAAAGAGGGTATTGTAATTTCTTCCAAGTAGTAAAATTCTATTATTACCTATTGTCGATTACTCGATTCCTAAGATAATCAACATGTTCTTAACCATTTTGTTTAGAATAAAGGAAATACATAAATTAAATCATTTAATTAGTAATTATTATTTCAAAATATATTTATGCATACAAATTCATCTTTTATAACATCTAATATAATTAGCATATTATTCATATTTTTTTATAATTTATTAATAAGATATTATTTGATCACAAAAATCAATGATCTAGCACTAATCAGGTTGAAACCTAAATTGTACCATATACTTTTTAACTACCGACATCATTATAATGTACATTCTTACAAAGTATAACAATTTCTCCCTTATTGATATCTTAATCTTCATCATCAAAATTATTAGAAAAACTTAATACTTCATTGAATATGTACAAATATAATTGCTACATTAACACCATAATACATCTCCGAGAACTAATTGTTATTTATGAATCACGCATCTCAAACTAACTTACTACATCTGTATAAAAATTATGTTTGATTATAGATCACATCTTAGAATCGACTTAGTCTCACATACATACAAACATGTCCTAGTCGACTACGAGTAACACTTCTAACTTAATTCAAGCTCCTATCCATAATACACATTTCTAACTTTTTATCATTTATTTTATTCACCAAAATAAAGGTATTTCACTTGAGGGATCACTTATAGTGAAATAATTTCAGTATTCAACTAAATGGTTTTATCTCTTCCTTACTTGAATGATCTTATGTTGCTTAAGCTCACAATTACTTTTCTGGAGCATCACAATTATTGCTTGAGCAAACTGACTCTGAAACCATGTTATCATTTTTGTTTTTTTGTTTTTTTTTCGCTTGAGCTCACTTAAGTCACTTTAGTACTAAAATACAAAACTCAACCCTATTTTTCTATTTGTATTTTGTGTTAGTGACTACTTATAACCTAAGTGAAACATAAATTATATCAATTATCTTTATTTTGCAAGTAATTTTGCTTAAACAACTCTCTTATTTGAGCAAAAAGTCATATCAATTATCTCTCTTACTACAACTTATTCATTTGAGCAATAAAATTCTTGTTTAACTCCTCCTCAAACATCTAATGTGTCACTTAGGTGATAAAAAGTCAAAGTACAAAGGATAATTCATAATAGTACATTTTCTAAACACCATACACAATAATAATACAAATCATTCATATCTAGGGACAAAGGAAAGAGGTAGCATGAAAATGCCATGGAAAAAAATATCTTTTAAATTTTATATACAAAATTAATTAATAATTTTTTTCACAAAAAAAAGAAGCTTCCATCTTCTTTTCATTTAGGTCTATGTCTATATCATAATAATTAGTCAAAAACATCACACCTAATCAATCTAAACATATACTTCTAAAATAGCTTTTGAATAATTAACTTTTAAGTTTTCTTAGTTGGGTATTACTGTAATCCAACTCATACCTGAAATCCAAGATTACCCCCTTTTACTTCCGTATCAACATTTTCAAATATAATCATAAAAGAAGAAATGATTAACTAGTCTCCTCCTCTAACTTGAAAATAATATAGAAATATTTAAAAATAAATCTAAATTACTTAATTATTCAAAAATCTATTCACACAGTTCAACTTTTTACTCATTTATCTTTTCTTTGCCACTTCCAAACATAAATTTTAAAAACAATTCAATACCCAAATCTTAAATCTAGAGAATCTTATAGTGAGAGATAGTGGGTTAGAAAAAACCAAACTGCTTAATCTTATAATTTTTAACCGATTGAACAATATTTTACTTCTAAAGCATTCCCACCGTTGTCGTTAAAAAGAAAGCCACTTTTTAAATATTATAAAATACTAGGTAGACCAATAAAAGGTTTAGTATCATATGAACGATTGAAAACACAATAACTGGTTCTTTGATAGCTGAAAATAATTACATCATACTTACTCGATTTTTTTTTCTAAGTGTAGGAGTTTTGTTGACAATTTTTTTCCTATATATGTCTTGTCTATAAGCTTAAGATCATATGTATTTGTATGTGTCTTTTAGTTCTTAAATGAATGAAAGAATAAAGAAGTAAAACAGAAAAGTGCATAACTAGTTTATTTGAATTTAAAAATTTATTCTATTTCCTTATTTATGCAAACAAGATTAAAAAATGATATAAAGGAGACACTAATATTTATATACAAAGATAACAAATTTAACAAACTAATTTCTTTTCTTACAAGATGATTATTGATTAACAACTTGTTGAAATGTGTGCATCTCCTGAAGTGCGATGGGTTCAATTATCAAGGATCGAATGCGATCTATGGCCGTCGAATCGGGGGCTCCATGTCCATCTCCATACTGGTACGTGCACTGAGAAATTCTTGCAAGGTTTATAGCTGCTTCTACGAAAGGTTTTGGGAAAGGAGACTCTGACACTCGATCTTGGTTCATCTTCTTCCACGTTTCATTAAGCAAATCATGGATATGTTTGTAAGCACCCTCTTCACTAGCACCACTTTCTCGCATGTAACAGAGAATGGAGCTCGCTGCCTCACCTCTCTCTAACTCTGCCTGCAAACACAAGAACAATTATTAGTCTTATGCTTTAGTCTATGTTTTTGGGTTTTTAGTGATGTAAAAAATGAGATACCTTTGAAGTACCCAAATCATTGCAAAGTCGAAAAATAATGGATGGCCTCCGTAACAGGGAGTGGTAGCTGTCTAAAGACACAAGTGCTTCCTTTGTTATGCTGTGGTTTAGCAAGAAATAGAGATGGGTCAGTATAACTACCCCAGAAACAGAGACCCATGCATTCTGGAGGTAATCATCGAGTCTTGGGACGTGTTTGTCACGACTCCATTTGGCTTCTCGTAGGAATGCTTTCAACATATCAGACCACTGCATAATTCAATTCAAATACAGAACTAAATTCAATATTGCTGCATAATTTATGAAATAATTGTTATAGTTTATGAATTAACTTACTGCTTTGGTGAGGTAAGGAAGAATATCTTGTCCTTGTTCTTTAATTGCATCATAGGCCAATTCATTGACAGTGTTGTACAGTGCTAGAAAACATATCTTCATGTAATTTGGGAGAACTTTAACTGCTTTAACATCCCAACTGAAACCATGAAGATCTTTCTTTACTTAGTGCACTGATTAATAATTTCAGCGGTTTCTTTACTCATGAGTGAGAAAAGTTATTACCTTTCTACAGCTGCTGTAAAAAGTTCTAATTCATCTAAGGAGCCATACACGTCATAAACGTCATCGATCGTGGTTATTAAAGAAGTAACTTTGGTTAAACCTTTGCGGAGATAGCTGAACTGAGGCTCGAACACCATTCCAACAGTCCAAAAGAAGCATTCCATTAGCCTGTCTCGGCTGAAGCTTAACTTTGAGGCTAGTCCCATTCCCTTCCACCACCTTCATTGTAACAAAGATAGCTTAAAAAAAGAAGGAGAAGAAGAAGAAAGGAAAATAAAGCATGTCCAAATAAGATGGGGAAAAATCAAAACTGTTATAAAATGATAACCTTGTACTATTTTTCTCTCTCCCACTTTTGTCTAAAAGATACAATAATTGAAATTTTCATTCACCACTTTCTTCTTACTTGTCCTTTTCTATTTCTTTTTTAGATTAAATATACACTATTACTTAGTTACTGACGAGTATTGTTACTTAATTTCTTAAAAAGCAATTAGTTTTCAAGTGGAGACAAAATAATAATTTTTTTTTTCACATTCCACGTGTTTTGATAAATGGGAGATGATAGATAGAATCAAGGAGAAAGAGGTTACTCCAACGCTAAATAAAAAATTTACTTATAGTTTTTTTTTAATTCTTTTTTATAAGATAATGATCAAGGGTTGCTATTTTTAATTATTAAATTATAAAAATAAAAAATAAATCTTAAATTTATATTCTTGAGGTAGATAGAGGTATTAATATATATATATAGTTAATTATTGAACTAAAATTATCATTTAATCTCTGTTTGATGTTGTTTTTTACTCAAGTAAATTTTTTCAACACAAACTCACCTTGACATTTCTTGGATATCATTTTGCAGGGTTGACTGCACAATATTGAAATCCAGTTTTGCTGCTTCAAGGAGCACCAGATTTGAGTCTCTTCTTTGAGAGTAAGATTCAATATACCACCTGGCTTCAAGTCTTTGGATTCTATGATGCAGTGGAAGCTCCAAAGCATGATTCACTTGTTCTAATAGCATGTTACTACTTCTACCTTTATTGAGGGCAACCCTAAGATGGAAGCTGCTGAAGTCCTTGGCTTCATCCAAAATTTGTTCTCCTTCATAACCAAGAAACGATGCCTCGTACAGACTCAACATTCCTTCCACATCACTAGCAAGGCTTGCCTTGAAATTACCATTGTGGTCTCTAAATCTCTCAAATATATCTGCATAATTAAATAATAATGAAATGAAGCCACTTTTACACCTAGCTTGTGCTACAAAGTACACACGTGACCCAGGTACATGGATAAGACACTTGTAAATTTACAGGGTAAGAGTCATGCTAAGTTGTTATTATATATAATTTAGAATTTTACTAGTAAAAAAAATTCAATAAATACAAGAATGATAACTTTTTTTTCTTAACAAAAACTATTAATAAAATAAGAATATAAAATGATATACACAACTAGTCATAAATATATCACTATTATTTTAAGTAAAATACTAATATAGTTTAATTTTCATCCACCTTAGTATAAATATCTTATGCTATGAACTAATTAATAGTTATTTCAAATATAACTTCAAAATAAATATTACAAACATGTGATGATAATATACTATGGAATGACGGTATAATTATTTCTACATTATCATTATATTCTAATTAAACTTATAAATATATATTGAAAATAGTAATAAGAAATTGAAAATATAAAGATATTATTAATATATTATTTATTTATTATCATATTGTTATTTTAAATGAAGTTGATATTTAAAAAAAAATATATATATATATATATATATAATTAGAAAACCCAAACAATGACCACCCTATTTGGTTGGTTGGTTGGTTGACAGTGACCCGTGAACGCACTTTATGTATTAGATGGTCCATTACCACTTGATAACAGAGTGGGGAATTCATACAGAAAATTTTTATAATCATAAGGCCAATGGTGTATGTACACTTCATTGCCTGCTTTTTTTATGGTTGTGTATGGCTACTTTCTGTGTTTCATTTTTGGGGTTGCGTTGCAGCTTTATAATTCATTTATCTATGCCCTCCCATGATTCCTTATTTATGGTTTGTTGGATTTCAATCAATAATACTTATTTCGCTTATAATAAAAAAATGTTAAACGTTCCTTGTACCTGCTGTGACATCATAGCCATATTCTCTCAGAAGCCTGAAGCTCAAAGCAGTTTCATGCAAGCCTCTGTGATAGATGGTGCCACTAAATGTTATTGCAGAACAGTGACACCTAAGAAGGGCTTCTCCTATCTCCTTGTCAAAATGGTAACTCAGGCCCAAGCGTTTCACATCGTTAATGAGTTCAAGTTTGAGCAATACATCTGAATTTTCATCCTTTATCATTCTCATCACTTCCTCTTGCAGCTTGTTGGCCCTGTCCTCATATTTTATATCCTAAAAATATCATACAAAGAGCAACACGTGTGAGTAACAAAACGTTTAAATAATTTGAAAAAAAGGTTTCTAATTGAAACGCTATATATATAATTATGATGCTTGAGTATTAATTACCGAGTAGGCATGCTTCAAGGACTGCAGAAAATCGTAATTCCAGATGTTTGGTTGGTAGTTGGCTGATTTTCTTGCAGAAATTTTAACGTCTGTGGTGGTTGCGTTGCAGCGAGGGAGGATTAGTCTACGGTGGAAAAGATTTTGGGCTACCGGTTTCTGAGATTTGCCAAAAGTTACATGTGAAATGAGAGAGGAATTGAGCAACGTGGTCATTTTTTCCTAGGTTTTGGGTTATGCTTGCAACTGCGAATATTTAACAGTGTCTGCAACTTGATGTTGGGGTGGGTCTCATTTGTTTACATATATATATATAGCCACCCCAGGGCTATAATAATGGCTAATTTGCACACGTTTTATATGTGTCTGGTCTTTTTTTATACGGAACGCGAATCCATTGTGTGATTGTGTCTTTTTCTGGTTTCCTAGGTTAATTTTTCATAACTAACATGTGTAAATCATGGATCAACTGAGAAATATGCGACGGGGGAAATTAAAATATATTCATGAATTAGAATACATACATTCTAACTACTTAATTATAAAATTAAAATATTTTACAATTATATCAATTTTAATAAAATAATTATAATTTATATAATATAATATTTTATAAAAAAAATAAATGGATCTCTTGCTTAATACTTATAAATCTTATATATTTTTAACTTGGCGAAATATTTTGAAAATATTTTATTTGACATAATTTTTGTTAAAAATATCAATTAACTTGTTTTCTAAATTAATACTAAGTAATTATATAATTTTTTTTCTAATTTTTCATTCATAAATAATTTATTCACTTCAACTTTATTAGTTTGATCATTTTGTATTGAATTATGGATAATATCATAAATAATTTTATTATAGGTTGTGTGGAAGAGTATCTAAAATCTTATAAAAGGAATCTTAATTATAAACCTTCACTTAGATATCAAACCTTTAGACTTAGTTTTATACTTGAATAAAACATGACAAAGACGTAAATATCACAACCAAATTTTAAATATTTTATTTCTCTTCTAAGAAGTATCAACACTTAAAACTTGATGTGATTCATAGTTTTTTTCTATTGATATAGGTAATATAAGTTTTCTTTCTCATTATCATAATCAATTAATTATTTTCTTTGATATCTTTAAAAGCAAAGAGTTAGGCCAACAAATCACCAAACAAAATAAATAAGTTATTATTTAGAAAACACAAAAAAGATTAAAATTTAAAGAATAAACATATTTTTTGTAAGTGATTTAATTTTAATAACCTTTATAAGATAAAATGTCATATGATTTATAGTTTTAGTATCAATAATTCATATAATTAAAAGTATTAACAATTTTACTAGGATTATATATAGTTGTTTATATTGTATTGATGGATACATAGACTACTCTATCATGTCTTTTGACTTCTAATACACTCACACTCTTCAAAGTAAGAATTTAAATCAAACATGACAACACTCTACTACAAGAGTATACGAAAATTCAAATACGAACTTAAAATATTTTTAATCAGGGTGTCAAACTTACCGCTAGCAAAAACTCATCATTTTCCATGGTAATACGGTTACACCATGAGAATACTTAATTTCATGTCAAAAATTCTTCCTTTCAATGCCTTGTGTAATCCAAATTGTATCAGCACATTTTTTATTTAAATTTCCCACACATCTTTGACTTGAATTTGCCACAAGCCAAAATTGATCCTTCCACCAAAATTCTCTATGTCACATTTGAGAGCACTTGCAAATGACATTACAAATTTAGCAACCAATGATGATTATCTAACAAGTAATTAATCTTTTATGATGTGAAAAATCGGACTAAGCTATAATCACATAGCATATTAAGAATATCCTAGTGAAGCATAAGTTTTATATCACTCTGATGGGAAAAAATGTTATGAAGAACATCACCATCTGTATTCCTGAAAATTACCCTACTAATAAAGAAATAAAATAAAAATAATCAACATAAACATATAATGTGGAAACTCTAAAATAAATAAAAAAAAACACGACCGATATCTAATGATAATCAGAGAATAATACTATGTAAAAAATTTTACAATACATCGACTACTCTTCCATACCCTTTGACTCCAAATACACCTGCACTCTTCAAAATAAGAATTTAAACCAAACCTCACAATATTTTACTACAAGAGTATAAAAATAGTCAAATAAAAGCTTAAAGTATTTCTAACTGGAGTGTCAAAATATCGTGGACTTTAAGTTCATTATATAACTATTATCATCTGCTCCACAACTTATTCTAAGTGATGTGAGACTTTTTAAGATGTATTATTTTCATCAACCTATATACCTTTTCATTTTGTTTGACAGTGAAGACTTCATTTCTCAATTTTGATATTTGTGTTTTTTTTCCTGCTAGTGTAACATGTTTTTGAAAAAGGATTGAACACTCGTATAAGTCCGAATAATGAAAGAAACTAATTTTATTTTAATTTTTTTCAAGATTTTAAAATATATAAAACCTAAAGAATTATCACCATTATAATACCAACTTGAAAATATAAATAAAAATATATTCATTCTTTGAAATAAAATAAAATATGTATAATTTATTTATAAAATATAAAGTTGTGTATAATTAGATTATTAGAAAATTAAAATATTTTTAATCATATCAATTTTAATTAAGTAATATATAATCTATACAATAATATTTTAGAAAGCAAAATAACATAATTCAAAAATTTAAAAATATTGTCTTTTGAAAAAGCAATATAAAAAATAGTCTTAAACTCGTATCTATAACATATTGATTTTCATTTTAATTCTTAATAAAGTAAGATGTACAAGACATTCTACAAATTTAGAAACATAAAATTAAGGAGTGAAAATAAAATATTAATAAAAACATATTTAACACTTTTAATATAATTTTTCATCATGATCAATTAGAACTAAATATATAGGTCTAATCATTATTAACCATACACATTAATGTTGAATAAAATTTAAGTTTTTTTAAGAGAGAGATTTACGGAGTTTGAGTTATAATATCCACATTTTGATTTTATCAAGGCCATCTATGATACCAATTCTTTTACTTAATTCACCTTCTAATCTTTCTTTATTTTATTTTATTTTATTTTTTCCATACTAAATATCAAAATAATTATTGCTTATATCTTTTATCATCATAAAAAAGTTTAATTACTAGGTAAAAGTAGTTATAAATTTAATATAATATATTTTAAACTTAAAAAACATTTTCTTTAATTTAGGCCGTTGGAAAAAATAAAAATAAATGCTTATAACAATAAAGTTCTATAAAAAGTAAACTGATAATTACATGAACATAACACAAACAAACTATAGATGTAAAACTATCAAAATGGACAGTCTTGATCTTACTGATCAAATAAAAAATATTTGATGGTCCAATTTATATTTTAATACAAACCAAAAATTTAATCTAATCTAAGTTTATGTTAGGTTAATGGGCAAATTTTGGACTGGTTGAATTAAAAAAAAAAATCTTAGATATATTTATATAAATTTAATTAATTAACAAATATTTAAATACAAAATAAAAATAAAAATGTATTTTAAAAATTTAAATTTTATTAATAAAATCATTTTTTTTACGATATAATGATTTAATATATAAATTATAAGATAATCTACTAATTTAATCTTAAAATAAAAATTAAAAACTTATTTTTTATTATTATATTTATTTTTAATAATTTATTAATTTAAAATAGTAATTAATTTTAATTATTAAATCTTAAAATAATTTATTATCAGATATTTATTCTTAGATTTATTGTAAGTGAAACCTGAAACTAATTTATAATATATATATATATATATATATATATATATATATTAATAAAATAATATTATTTTTATTTTTATTTTAAAATTAATTATTATTTATAAAATGGGTGGTTAAATAAATCTAATATCTCTCAGTTAATTAATATCAATCTTATCTCATAACTAAATGTGATGTAAAGAAAAAAAAGTATGATATGAAAAGATCACGTGTAGATATAAATATAAAGATAACATTTTTTGAGAAATTTTATTTACAAATATTTTTTTATAATAAACCAATTATAAATAACAATATTGTTAGAGTATTATAAAATTATTATGAATGATAATTTTTCTTCTTCTTTTATTTAGGACAATTATATATTTAGAGCTCAGATTCAATACTTTCACTTTACTTTATAATTATTTTGTATTGATTGATTTATGTGTTCCGAAGTAAAACAAAAGTACTTTATAATTACTTTTTATATAATTAATTTAAAGTTTTAAGATGATTATGGTAAAATTTTGGAAAAGCATTTTATAATTGGATAACAAACATAACAATATTTACTAATTTAACAAAATAAATAATAATAATATATAAATTTTAGATAAAAATATTATATCAAACATAAATACATATAAGAGATAACTATAGAAAGGGATAAATACTGTAACATTTTGAAGAAGTGACTCAATTATAATTTTACATGAAGTTTTTAAAATGGGTGGTCTGTCTCTTTATGAAAAACTTTGATAATTCAATCTAATTTTTTAATATAATTTAACCTTATATTAAATTAATAAGTTAATAGACTAATTTTGATTTGATTAAAATAAAAAAAATATTAATATATTTATATCAAAATAATTAATTAAAAAAATATTTAAACAAAAATATATTTAAAATATTTAAATTATATTAATAAAATTATATTTTATTTAAGATATAATAATTTAATATATAAATTATAAAAGAATACATCTATTCAATTTTAAAATAAAAATTAAGAATCATCATTTATTTTTTTAAAATAATTATTAATTAAAATAATAATTAATCTTAATTATTAAAATAAATAATTTTTAAAAATTTATTTTGATATTTATTTATAAAATAAATAAATTTATTATTAAATTATTTATAATATATATATATATATATATATTAATAAAATAATATTTTTTATTTAAAAATAATAATTATTTTATAAAATAAACCTATTAATAAACTTATAAAATAACTTACCTAAATAAATTATAACCTAGACAAATCGAAATAAAATAAATTTATGACATATTTTTTAACATAACTTAGCTTATTTGTTTAATCTTTCAAACCTATTAAATCTATTTTAATATCTCTTTTTATATAAATAAATAAATTAAAAATAATAAAATAAGATTGTATAATATGATA